CATGCGCGAGCGGCAGGATCGGCAACCGGCACCAACAGCGTCGATTAGGAGCTCCCATTAAACATTTTATAAGCAAAATAGATCTCACTTAGAGTTTGCAAGGTCCCTTGATTTTACCTGGCAGGCCCTGAAGCCAATGCACCCGTCACTATACCATCCTTTTGCCATTTCTTCTGTTATTATCCACTGAAAACTTGAAGGCACGGTGAGCTTCCTTTGGCTCGGGGCTTCCCGTGACGCAATGCCTGACCGCATGAACGAGACCGGCCGAATTATTGTAGAACTGATCGGTTGACGAGTGCAACCATACTACTCCCTCCGTTCCTAAATATTTGTCTTTCTAGACATTTCAAATGACTACTACATACGGATGTATGTAGACATATTTTAGAGTGTAGATTCACTCATTTTGCTCCGTATGTAGTCACTTGTTGAAATGACTAGAAAGACAAGTATTTAGGAACGGAGGGAGTATAATAGTCAGCTGACGAGCTCATTGCTTCATAGCCGGCCCCGCCGGTGCATGGGGCCAAGGAAATCTCAGCATGCAAGGGCGACACGCGGTCATGGAACGAAATTTGAGCATGCAAGGGCGACACGCGGTCACGCAAGGAAATCCTGTGCCTCGCAAGTTCCTCCGTGGCCACTCGGTTCTGGCTTCTAGAAGAAGGATAATACATGCTACGCGTCAAGCCAGCCGGCCCGTACTTAACTCCAGCCACTGTCCACACACGGACGCGACCGGCGGTTGCGCTGCGCCTGGTTTTCCTCTCCTTCACTGAACTGATGGCGACCGAAAGCCTCCGGATGCTGCTGGGGGACGCCTCGCCGTGGAGCGTCGCCGGCGCCGCGGCGGCCGTGGCGCTGCTGTGGCTGGGGGCGTGGGTCCTGGAGTGGGCGTGGTGGACGCCGCGGCGGCTGGGCCGGGCTCTGCGGGCCCAGGGCCTCCGGGGCACCCGGTACCGGCTCTTCACCGGCGACGTGCCGGAGAACGCCCGGCTCAGCAGGGAGGCCCGGCTGCAGCCCTTGCCGCGCGGCTCCCACGACATCACCCCTCGCGTGCAGCCCATGTCCTGCAACGTCATCAAGGAGCACGGTATGTTCTTCAGTCGCGAAATTCACAATTGCCTGAACTTGTTTTGAGACTCTTTGAGCTTTGTCTATTCTTGTGCGGATGTGCTCTGAACCTCTGATACACAGCATGTTCGCTATAGAAGACAAATTTATATGTGTGGGATGGATCTTGCTAGACAGGAGACACTAACAAATTACGTACAAGTTTACAGCATGCACTTTGATTGCCATGTAACAAAACATCCATCCATGTACAAAATTGCAGGGAAGATGTCGTTCACTTGGTTTGGTCCAACGCCGAGGGTGACGATTCCTGACCCGGAATTGGTGCGAGAAATTCTGTCCAACAAGTTTGGACACTACGGGAAGCAAAAGAGTAGCCGTTTCGGGAAGCTGCTAGCCGACGGAGTTGCAAATCATGAAGGCGACAAATGGGCAAAGCACCGAAGAATCCTCAATCCCGCCTTTCACCATGAGAAGATAAAGGTATCTGTTCAATGGAATTTTCTGGTGGCATGGGTGATGTGGGATAATGCACTCTTTGTATTTTCGTTAATTAAAGTGAAGTTATATACAGAACAAGGAAAACATAACTCTTTGTATAGAGTATAGACTGATTCGCAAAAAAAAAAAACACAACTCTTTGTATAGACTGATAAGCAATGTTTCATTTGCAGAGGATGCTGCCTGTATTTTCTGCGTGTTGCGAAGAAATGATTACAAGATGGGAGAATTCCATGCCCACTGGAGGATTTTGTGAGATTGACGTCTTTCCTGAGTTCCAGAATCTGACTGGAGATGTCATCTCGAGAACAGCATTTGGTAGCAATTATCAGGAGGGAATGAAAATATTCCAGCTGCAAGGGGAGTTATGTGAACGGCTAATACAGGCTTTTCAGACACTTTTCATCCCAGGCTATTGGTAAGTTGTTTTCTTACACAAGCTCATATCATTTCAAGCAAATGGAGTAGCTAGTTTATCTCCGCTTAGAGGTGATCAAATGGAATTTGAAAGGAAAATAGTACTACACTTCTTTTCTTTAAATGAAAGAGTTTATTGAAGAAAATAGTAGGCTGATCAAAGAAACTTTAGTCTTTTCGATGGTAAACTTAAACAGCAGCAATCAAGATTTTCTTTCCTATGCTGACATGTCAGACCATTTGCAGGTTCTTACCAACAAAAAACAACAGAAGGATGAGAGCAATTGATCGTGAAATCCGCACGATTCTACGAGGCATTATTGGGAAAAAAGAAAGAGCTATTAAAAACGGTGAAGCTAGCAGCGATGACTTGCTAGGATTGCTGTTGGAGTCAAATATGCAACAAGCAAATGGGAAAGCAAATCTTGGAATGAGTATTGAAGATATAATTGAGGAATGCAAGCTATTTTACTTTGCAGGTATGGAGACAACATCGGTCTTGCTCACATGGACTCTAGTTGTGCTAAGCATGCACCCAGAGTGGCAGGAGCAGGCAAGGGAGGAAGTTTTGCATCAGTTTGGAAGAACCAGACCAGATTTTGAGAACTTGAGTCGCCTGAAGATTGTAAGTGCGAAGTTTATGCCTTGTGCACATATTGTGGGATAAAATAAAATCAAATACGACCCTCTCCATCATCAAAGTGAGAAAAGAAGTAGCCAAGAATAAAACCTATCATGTTCCAGTATCATTAAAAATTGTAACACATGTCTACATATGCATGTGAGCAAAACATATACTCATAAATTGAATTGAAAGGATTTTTTTAGGATGATGTGATTTTTTAGGTCTAGAATGGTCGGAGTAATGATCTTGATATTGTGTATTGTTTTGCAGGTAACAATGATTTTGTATGAGGTTCTTAGGTTGTACCCGCCAGCAATCTTCCTTGCGAGAAGAACTTACAAGGCAATGGAGCTTGGTGGCATCAGATATCCGGCAGGGGTGAACCTTATGTTGCCCCTTATCTTTATCCACCATGATCCCGATATTTGGGGAAAAGACGCAAAGGAATTCAATCCACAGCGGTTTGCTGATGGCATCTCGAATGCGGCAAAGCATCCGGCGGCGTTCTTCCCGTTTGGAGGGGGTCCTCGTATCTGCATCGGCCAGAACTTTGCGTTGCTGGAAGCAAAGATGGCTCTGAGCACCATCCTCCAGCGCTTCTCGTTCGAGCTCTCACCGTCCTACATCCACGCACCGTACACCGTGTTAATCCTGCAGCCACAGCACGGTGCTCAAATTAGGCTGAAGAAGATATGAGCGTGCTTTCTCATGGGGCAGTGAATTTACTTACGTGCTGTGTATAGTTTAAATGTTTAGCTTTCGGCTGAATAAAAATGCAACCAGGTTTACATGCTGTGTAATTTTTATTTTGAAATACCTGAATGAATGTAAATGTAGTTTCAGTTGAACTGTCGTTTGCTTCAGTTCATAATAGTACTGCAAGTCTGAACTGTCATTCAATGGAACTCCTTTCATCAAGCTGCAGAAACATATTACTCCCTCCGTTCCAAAATAGATGACCCAACTTTGTATTACCTTTACAAAGGTAATACAAAGTTGGGTCATCTATTTTGGAACGGAGGGAGTAGATGACAGTGATAACTCTCTGGAGTCTGGACCATACAGCTTCTGCATCCTCCTTATATGTATACTGGGTTAACCGTGCACGGAAGATACTTAGTTTCTCAAGCCGAACAGGACCATCGACTCGCCGCCGTCAGACGTCAGCTCATGCCCTCCATCACCGCGCTTTGGCCCTTCCCCAACCGATGATCTGCGAATGGAAGTGATCTAAAAAGTCTTATATCACAGAGGAAGTACATATTTGCTTCCTCGTAGAAAGATAAGAGGTATATATAAACAAAAGAGACCATTTTTCCTGTTCACTCTTGAATCTTGGCGACCTCCTGCGGCCTCCCAGTTTGAAAGAAAAGCAAGACATGATCCAGTGCAGCAGCGCCGATAGTTGCTGAACAAATGTGCTCAATGAACAATGATGATGCATCTGGTTCTCTTTCCTATGTTCACCGACCCACCTCTGCATATGTAATACTACTAACATATCATACGATTGCAGGCAAATCCGAAATATAGTAGTGGTACTGCTGTATTGTACTGTAATAGGTTAGATAGCATCCCTTCATTAGTTTTCAAATCGATCTCTATAAGATTTCGATTGATTTTCAGATGCTGAGCTACCCTCAAATTGTAGAATAATTGAGAAGCAGCTTGCCGGCACCCTGGCGCCCCCCCTGCGCACGGTAGCAGCTTGCTGCTCCTTCTCAAACTTTCCGTTGCCCTGGTGCTCGTCTCAGACCTCGCCAGGTCCATGCTCATCCTCCCGGTCCTCGATGTTGGCCGGAGCTTCTTCATGTGCTTCTTTCTGGCCACCCCAATCCATCGCGACTAGCACGGGAGAAATGGTGCATCTGTTAGCAACCCTCCACGGGTGGGCCGTGGGCCGGCATGAGAGGGTCGGGCCTAGCATCTAGGCCATGGAGCCAGCGACTACAAATACTTGAAAGGGTGGATCGAGCAGGTCATCCGGTTGGATCACGACTGAAACGGCACGGCGGCTTCCTCTCCCACCTCTGGCTCTCCTCCTCAATCCCCTTGTTCTTACTTGTTCATGTAATCTAGCTACCCAAATCCTTGTATCTGTAAGTGATTCGTGAGATCAGTAGAGAGACCCTAACACTTGGTATTCAGAGCCAAAATTTTCCCCACCACCTCCCACCCGATCGAGCAATGGAGCCGGCGACCAAGCAGGACCTGAAGGATCTCCTGAAGGAGTTCCGAGAGAGCATGAAGGAGAGCATCAGGGAGGCTGTCGCGGTCGGGTTCGGTAACACGAAGCCGGCATTCGAGCAGGCGACCATCTCGACCTCTTCTCAGTTCCTCGCCATGGACGCCTCCGATGACAAGGATCTGGCACCTGCGTGCTCCAGCCCTGAACAGGGCACGTACGCCCTCGACTTCGCCCCAACGACCACCATCGATGCTCTTCCCGAGCTCGACATTGACGCCACGGGCGTTGCTGCACCAACGCCCACAACCTGCTCGACGGATGGCCTCATCCACAGCACCGATGGAGACGATAGGATGGAGGCGTCGAAGGCTGCTTGGGATTCGTCTACGCCCTTCACCGCACGTCCAGGGGACTCACCAACACCAATGAGTGAGCCATCTCTCGGCCTTGCACTCGGTGCGCTGGCGCAGACCAAGTGTTTGGCAGAATGCTCAGGCCAAGTTGATGCGTCTGTCACGGCCAGTGTTATCTTAGCGACTGCTGGCTGCATGCCCACTACCTGTTCGACCGAGTGGGTCACCCATGCTGACAGTCGCATCATCGACTCATCGTCAACAACCCTACCCATTTGGCTCGCAGCTGCAGCGGTGCATCGTTCGTGGGTGCAGACAGTGCCACCGCACCCACCGGACCTGAGGTTATTTTTTTGGTGGGACCATGGGTGTCTAATGAGTGGCCGTGGTGATTTGGAAAGAGTGATTCATCCTAGCCCAAATGAAAGTTTATGCACAAGGCAATGTCAAGAGGTAAAACTCTCGTGTCTGTTTCATGGGATGTCTATTTCTTGGCAATGGTTGGTACACTGGCTAGTCTATGGAGTTGATTTACATCAAATTCCGTGTCCATCATTTTCAAATGGTGAGCCACCAGATGTGGATTGTTCCAGTGTTGCCAATTGGGACCCCCATGTGCCTATTTCTGTTGATGACAAGTTCCTGAAGCATCTGTTTCTAAGTGTTCAAGTGCATGACAGTGGAATGGTTGTAGTTCCCTCTCTGACCTTGATACGACTCCTTACTGTACTTGAGGCACCATTCACAATCCATGGAGGGTTTCTTCTCATAGATGGCCTCTGGGGCTGGTCACTACATCTGTTCGGACGCGTAAAGAAGGTATCCGATGATAAGCGAGATGCCCAATGTAGCTTGGTCTATCTTAAGTTACAGCAACATGGATTGTTTGTTGTACATCTTACTGATGGAAATTCTCTCTGTTCATGCCACTATACTGATGCACTTGCTTTTGAGTGGGGCTACAACCATATTTCTTACAGACAACTTCTAGAGATCTGTTGCAAGCGACTGAAGTGTAAATGGAGAATACAATCTGGGCTAGTACAGACCACATTCAGCCGAATTGGTGCAGTAACCAGTGGAACAATGGGACTGTTGGTTGTGCAATTACCAGAGTGTATTGATGACCAACTAGCAGAATTGCTGAAGGAAAATTTTAATGAGATGCCAAAGTGCAGTGTTACTCCTATATCTTGTGAGAGTGGATGTAAGTTGCATAACACATCATTCTTTATCTGGCGGACAAGTGCAGTCTGCCTTCTTCTCTGTTGCTATGATCAATTTCAATGGAAGCTGGCTGGGTTATGCTATCACCTGTCTAACTGCTGTCCAGTGACACTACTTGGGCTGCCGGTGTCAGCAAACTGTTTGACTCGGAGGTATGCAGGTCACAAGAACCAGGTCTACCACATGAAGTTGTCTCATTCTAATCATTGTCAAGAGGGAATAAACTTGCAAGTGGAGCAGATATGGTGTGCAATTACGAGTAATACTATTGATGCTTATCCTTGTGGTGGTGAAGACCATGCACGCGAATCATTGTTCAACCTGGAGCTTGCTGTACATGCGAAGGAGTTCGATGTGCATGGTATAGAAGTTTCCCTACGCAACAAGATCATATTTGTGTTTGAATTTCACTTGCATGTTGTTGCCAGGTGGAGCTCTTACGGTGTAAACTTTGGTGAAATGGAAAACCAAGTGTATGTGCAAACACATTCCATTGGATCGTTGGCCGGGACACCTCTACAGAAGCAGCAAATGGAGCTGCAATATTATGGAAATTGTGCCATTAACTCTCTTCATCTGCACTGATTGGTGGCAAGGAAGGGGAGAGCAACAGGTTCATGGTTTGATAAATTCTTGGAGGCTTCCATTATGTGCATAAACTGTGAGGACCACTGCTGGGGCTTCCTAAGCTCACTTCTATCTGATTGGTCGAAGTTTGGGAATAGCATCACAGAACTGAAGGAATATCGGGATCAGGGTGGCTTTAGACTGCAATTTTCTTTCAATGTTATGCCCATCTTACAAGGGCACTGGTGCTTTGGAAATGTTAATAGCCTGTTGATTCCTCCTGGTTCGAATGGGAAGTATTATCTCTATGCTCATTGCTGGGTGCTCCAAGTTTGCCAAGATAGTTCACATGGACTGATCAAGAAGTCCAGTGCATGGTATTCGTTTATCACAAGGTTCAGCGTCTGGGTGCCGGGCGTGCCAATGATAGCATGGTCAGTATGCATGGCGTTAATTCGGACTAACTTTGGGAGATGGTGGACTACTTGTTTGCAGTGTTTGGAGCAACACCAATGGTTATCAATGTTGTCGGCATGTACATCTCGGATCTGGTTGGTAGCATGGCCCATGGACGGGGTGGAGCTCTGGATTCACTGTGGGCACGCAATTTTTCAAGGAGGGAGGATCTTCATGGTCGTCGCCACCTTTGTCGACCATAACTACTACCTCGACGTCATCCTCAACTTGGTTCCCATCGGCCATGATGACTACTTCGGCAACCTGGGCAAGCAAGCTTGCTACTTTGATCGAGTCTACACCCATCTTGGCTACTATCATGAAGATTACCATGGCGATCCTAGCAAGATCAAGGAACTTCAAGCGCCGTGGGATCCTGGCAAGTCAACCTTCCAGTCTTCTTCTGAGCTTCGGCTTGGGGTCAAGCCAAGTTTCAAGGAGGGAGGGGTGTTAGCAACCCTCCACGGGTGGGCCGTGGGCCGGCATGAGAGGGTCGGGCCTAGCATCTAGGCCATGGAGCCAGCGACTACAAATACTTGAAAGGGTGGATCGAGCAGGTCATCCGGTTGGATCGCGACTGAAACGGCACGGCGGCTTCCTCTCCCACCTCTGGCTCTCCTCCTCAATCCCCTTGTTCTTGCTTGTTCATGTAATCTAGCTACCCAAATCCTTGTATCTGTAAGTGATTCGTGAGATCAGTAGAGAGACCCTAACAGCATCAATATTACCTAACACCCTTAAAACCAACCTTCGAATGCAAGTTCTAATTTGTCAACAATCACTGAAGCAAAAAAATTTATGGCCTGCTCAAATAGCCGTAAAACTGAAGATAGCTGACATTCATAGCTAAAAACCGAGACTACAAGTACAAAGTTACTGCCTCGTTCATCTCCTAAATCCTAATC